GGAGACGGGGGAGGAAGGCTGACTGTGAGGGGTTGAAGGAGACATTAGAGGGACCAGAAAGAATTGGAGTTAGAGCCGCTGTGGGCGGCAGATTCTGGTCCTTATTGCCTTATGTTTGCAATGGACCCTGTATGTGCTGCGCTGAGGGCTGAGGAGACCTCACCTGTCCCCCATGTTTCTGTCCAGGTCGTCCAGCTCCCGACTACGAAGCTGTGACCACCCAAGTCCCACCCACCACGACCCCTGAGCCCCGCGTGAAGCCCCTGCTGGGGGAGCTGACCGTGACGGGATCCTCCCCGGACTCGCTGAGCCTCTCCTGGACCGTCCCCCAGGGCCAGTTTGACCACTTCCTGGTCCAGTACAAGAACGGGGACGGGCAGCCCAAGGCGGTCCGGGTGCCGGGACACGAGGACGGGGTCACCATCTCGGGCCTGGAGCCGGACCACAAGTACAAGATGCACCTGTATGGCTTCCACGACGGCCAGCGCCAGGGCCCCGCCTCTGCCACCGGGGTGACAGGTGAGTGGGTGGTGGGAGCCCCGGTGGGACCTGCGGGAGATGACACTCGTGATGGCTGAGGGGGTGCAGGGGCCCCTCTGCTCGAGGCTGAGCCGTGGTGCCCTGTGCCTCCCCTGGGCTCCCTGAGCACCAGCGGGGCCCTGGGCAGAGAAGGGCCCCTGGGCTGTGCGGGGGCTGCGGCCACAGCCGACCCCGAGGCTCTGGGCATGTCAGTGAGGCTGCCCCGAGGGGCTCCCTGGAGTGACCAGGGCCCGGCATGACCAGGGCTTGGGAGGAGACCCGGACATGTCCATGGAGCCTGCCTCACCCGCCCTGTGTCTGTGCTTCTCAGCTGCAGAGGAGGAGACCCCCAGCCCCGCAGAACCCAGCACGGAGGCCCCCGAGCCCCCCGAGGAGCCCCTGCTGGGGGAGCTGACAGTGACGGGATCCTCCCCGGACTCGCTGAGCCTGTCCTGGACCGTCCCCCGGGGCCACTTCGACGCCTTCACCGTCCAGTACAAGGACAGGGACGGGCGGCCCCAGGTGGTGCGTGTCGGGGGTGAGGAGAGCGAGGTCACCGTGCGGGGCCTGGAGCCGGGGCGCAAGTACAAGATGCACCTGTACGGCCTGCACGGGGGGCGGCGCGTGGGCCCCGCGTCCACCCTGGGCCTGACCGGTGAGTGGGGCGGGTTCGTTTTCCTCCCACTGGTGCCCCAGCCTCTCTGTGGTGGTGGCTGTCCTTGCCGTGGCCCCACCATCTTGAGGTAGAGGAGGAGGAGCAGTTCATAGGGACTGAGCTGCCACTAGGTGCACAGCCTTGGACCAGTTTTAAGCATCGGTGCCTCTGTTTCCTCGCCTGTAAGACGGGGACCGTGCCCACCTCACAGGGTGCAGGGAGCTGGCAGCAGAAAGCCCGCAGGAGGCCTGGCACGTGGAGAGCATGCTGTCAGCGGCTGCCTCTGGGCTGTTACACCCTCCTCTGCCCCTTGGCTGCTTCGCTGGCCAGTGCGTGAGGCCCGGGCCCCACCAGTGGTGCGGAAGCTCTCACCCCCGTGAGCGCCTTTGCAGCCAGGAGAAGCCTCCCTGCTGGCTGCCCGGCCACCGCGAGGGACCCAGCCTGGCACCTCCTCTCCGACAGCACAAAGGCCGGGGCCCCCGGTGGCCTCTGGAACACTCCTGCTGACCTGCCCAGCGTGGGCCCAGCGAGGAGCGTCCCCTGGCCTCTTGTTCGCTGAGGGAACGATACACAGTTCTGAAAACCACTGTTCCTATCGGGAATGAGCAGGGTTGAAAGCAGAGGAACTGAAAGGTTTGAGCGAGGCTGATGTCCACAGAGCCCACCCTCACCATGACGTGGTTGGCTTAGTTTCCAGAACCTTCCACTCCCGGCTTCTTTTCTTTAGTCGGCACTGAGAGTAGAGAGGGGAAAGCCAGCCTGAGTTACTGTCCTGCACGTAGCAGGGTGGAGGCCGTGCCAGGCCCAGGCGCACAGCAGGTTTCTCGGGGTGACCTTGCCCTGGGCAGCCGACAGGCTCTGGTCCCCGGGAAGGGTGGCCGGCTGGGCGCTGAGGAGGGGCGGCAGAGGACATCGAGTTCTGGAATCTACCAGCTGATTTCCGTTCCGGCCTCGGGACTGAACTGTGAGGGCGCAGGGCGATCCCTGACCGAGGGCGCCGTGCCGTGCCAGCAGGAGAAAGGCGCGTAGCGAGTTAGAAACATTTCTACTTTGGGAACATGTTATGCCAAGTGCAGCCTCGGACTGCATCCCCAGCGGCGGGTATAGTGCCGCCTTCCCAGTTACGCCAAACCACCAGCGAGGCTTGCGGCGAGGGCCAGCCCCTTTCTCGTGGAAAGAAGCGCAGAGAGAAGCGAGCGGAGCCGAGGCCGTGAAATGGAGCGCGCCCCTGCCCTCCCCGCTCTGGCTCATCTCTCCCCAAGGCCTCGTTTTTATTTTATTTTTAATGTATTTTTATTGATTTCAGTTCCATGCAAATGGAAGTGAAAAAAAGCTGGTGTAGCAATACTCATATCTGACAAAATAGACTTCAAAATGAAGGCCATCACAAGAGACAACAAAGGTCACTACATAATACTAAAGGGACTGATACAACAAAAGGATATAACCCTGGTAAACATATATGCACCAAATATAAGAGCACCGAAATATACAAAAAAGAACTTCTAGAGGACTTTAAGGGAGAGATCAACAGCAATACAATAATAGTAGGGGACTTTAACACCCCATTGACTTCACTGGACGGATCTTCCAGATGAAAAATCAACAAGGAAACAGTGACTCTAAAGGACACACTGGATCAGATGGAATTAACTGACATTTATAGTACATTTCACCCCAAAGCTGCAGAATATACAATCTTCTCAAGTGCACATGGCACATTCACAAAGATAGACCACATATTATGATACAAAGCAAGTCTCTACAAGTTCAAGAAGACTGAAATCATATCAAGCATCTTCTCAGATCACAGTGGACTGGTTAATCGGTTGACGCTCAACCACGCGTTAACTTAGCCAACGTGTGGTGACCCACTGGTGCGGGGGCACAGCCAGGGCTCCTGCTGCTGAGTCCGTGCCAGCGGGGGAGACCGCACCCCGGGCACAGGCCCGTCAGCACTGCCACATGACATGCGCGGGGAGCCAGCCGCGCCCGGGAGGCGAGTGATGGGAAGGTGGTGGGAGGGCCCAGCTGAGGAAGGAGGACGAGCACATGCCACCCAGGCCCTTGGAGATAGCACTCGGGGCAGAGGGAAGGACCGGCGAGGAATGTTCCAGAATTGGGGGGGTGCGAGGTGGACGTGCAGCCTGGAGGCCGCCGTCAGGGCGTGGCTTTGCTCTGGATGAGATGGGCGCCTCTGACCGCCTGCTAACAGTGGGAGCAGCGGAGGGTGAGGGCGAGGCAGGCGATCTCGGGGACGGTCCAGCTCTGCCTGGCGAAGGCGGCGGAGTGGGTGGGCAGTGGCAGCTTCCCCAGGTAGTGCCCACAGGACTTGCTCCTGGGCCTGGCGGGGTTGGAGGTGCGGTGGGCAGGCCGAGGGGCAGCAGCTGAGGGGGCTGGGCTCGGTGTGGACGGCTGAGTGTGCTGAGCAAACAGTCCAGGCGGCAGGGCCACTAAGGCCGCTCTCCCAGGTCTCAGTGATGGCTGGCAGCCCCCCAAAGCCCCAGGGCCTGGAAGAATGGGCCCATCAGAGTTTGATGTCCGGCCACCTCGCGGGCACCAGGAGGACAGTGGACGTGATCACCACCCAGGGTAGGAGGGCTTTCCTAACAGCTGCCTCCACTCTCTCAGCTCCACCACCGGGAGCCGCTCCTGCAGCCACCGAGCCGCCCGTGGGGCCGCGCCTGGGGGAGCTGACTGTGAC